GTCGCTCGTACGTCCATGATCCATGCGGCTGCTCCCCATTTTCTGTGGCCGTTCGCGGTCCAGTACGTGGCGCATCAGATCAACCTTCAGCCCCGGGTCTCCTTGCCGGAGACCTCCCCTACTCTGCGGTGGATGGGGAAGGTTGGCGATGCGTCTTCGTTCCGTGTCTGGGGATCTCGAGCTTTTGTCCGCGACTTGTCTGCGGACAAGCTGTCCCCCCGTGCTGTTCCCTGCGTCTTCCTTGGGTTCCCCCCTGACACGCCTGGTTGGCAGTTTTACCACCCCACCTCGCGCCGTGTTCTGTCCTCCCAGGACGTCACGTTTGACGAGTCGGTTCCTTACTACCGTCTCTTCCCCTACCGCACTGCCCCCCTCCCCCTGCCGCCGCTCTTCCTCGCGCCAGGTCCTTCCCCGGTAGACCCCCTTCCCCCCCAGGGTCCTGCCCCCTCAGGCGTCCCAGGTAGACGCAGTCGAGCCTGTCGAGGTAGCTTTTGACTCTGGTGCTTCTGGGGGTGCTGGGCCTGCGGGTGCGGAGTCTGGGGGTGCTGAGCCTGGGGGTGCTGAGTCTGGGGGTGCTGAGCGTGGGGGTGCTGCGACTGGGGGTGCGGAGCCTGAGGGTGCTAGGCTTGCTCGTGTGGAGTCTGGCGGTGCGGGGTCTGGAGGTCCTTCGGGTGGTTTGTCCCGGCGGGAGCTACCCTCTCCATAGGAGCTGCGTGAGTGGTTTGCTCGGCACTGGAGCCGTGCTGTTGGAGCTGGAGGTGCCGCTGGGGCTGGAGGTTCTACTGGTGCTGAGGGTGCTGACGCCACGGGTCCCGAAGGTGCTCGTACTGGAGGTACTGGAGCTGCTGGGCCTGGGGGTGCTCATGGTGCTGGAGCTGCTGGTGGTGCTGGAGCTGGCGGTGCTGCAGTAGTAGGTGTTGCTGGAGGTGCTGGAGCTGGGGCTGCTGGGTCTTCCGGTGTTCCTGCTGGAGCTGGAGCTGCTAGAGGTGCTGGAGCTGAGGCTATTGGGTCTTCCGGTGTTCCTATTGGAGCTGGATCTGCTGGAGGTTCTGGAGCTGGTGGTGTTGCTGTTGCTGGTGCTCTTGTGGGTGCTGGAGTAGCTGCTCCTGGAGCTGGTGGAGCTGCTGGAGTCGTGGCCGACCCTTGGGGGTGCTGGTACTGTCCCTACTGGTTGTGGAGGTGCTGCGTGGCCGCGGCCGTACTTCGTTCCGCTCCTTGAGCAGGTACTTAGTCTTCCGCCCTCTACTGGTCCTGCTCCTTCCTTAGAGTGTCCACTGCCTGTCCAGTCCGGGTCACAGTTACAACCCGCCTCCCCACTGCCTGCTCCCTCTCCCTACACTACTCCTACTGGAGGTCTTGCTAAGCGTCGTGAGCCTGCGTCTCGTCCAGTGTTGCCTGTTCGTGCTGCTCGCACAAGTCGTCATCTTCCGCGCCAGCGTCCTCCTGCGGTCCCGGGCACACACCGGATGTCACTGACCCTTCCTTTTAGTCCACTGCTGCGTCTGCCTTAGTTGCTGAGCTTGTCGACATCGCTGCTCGCTGTCGTCTAGACTACGCCGCTAGTCTTGTTGCTGAGTGTGCGTCTGTCTGTCCTCCGTCCGTCGGGGGTGAGTGTGCTCTTAGCACGGACGTCCTTGAGGACACGCAAGAGGATTTCCAGTGTTTTTCTGCTGCTTTGCCTCATCTCGTGTCCATGCTGATTGCCCTTGAGGGAGACCCGAATGCATCAGACATCCCGACTCTGCGCTCTTACGCAGAGGCAATAGAGGGTTCCTACTTCTCTTAGTTGCAGTCAGCCATGGACGCAGAGATGGCTTCCTGGAAGTCCACAGGCACCTACGTCGACGAGGTTCCCCCACCTGGGGCGAACATCGTCAGTGGCATGTGGATTTTCAGGGTGAAGCGGCCGCCGGGTTCTCCGCTTGTGTTCAAGGCGCGTTACGTGGCTCGAGGCTTCAGTCAGCGGCAAGGAGTTGACTACTTTCAGACCTTCTCTCCCACCTTGAAGATGACCACTCCTCGGGTGCTGCTGCACATAGCCGCTCAGCGCGACTACGAGCATCACTCTCTTGACTTCAGCACTGCTTTTCTACAGGGCAGCCTGCACGAGGAGATCTGGCTGCGCCGCCCACCTGGCTTCACTGGGTCGTTTCCTCCTGGCACCCAGTGGAGCCTCTGGCGGCCAGTCTACGGTCTCCGCCAGGCGCCCCGTGAGTGGCACGACACACTGAGGACTACACTTGCGCCTCTTGGATTTGCTCCTTCTACTGCTGACCCGTCGCTGTTTCTGCGCACCGACACCTCTTTGCCGCCATTCTACATCCTCGTGTATGTCGACGACTTGGTCTTTGCCACTGCTGACACTGCTGGACTCGCCCACGTGAAGTCCGAGCTGCAAAAGAGACACACGTGCACAGACCTGGGTGAACTGCGCAGCTACCTTGGCTTGCAGATCACCCGGGACAGAGCACAGCGCACCATTACCCTGACTCAGTCACACATGGTGCAGCAGGTCCTTCAGCGCTTCGACTTCACGTACTCCTCGCCTCAGGCCACTCCTCTGTCTACTCGCCACTCGCTCTCAGCTCTGCCTTTGGATGAGTCCGTAGAGCCGAGTGGCCCGTACCCAGAGCTTGTTGGCTGCCTCATGTACCTGATGACCTGCACTCGACCTGACCTTGCATACCCTCTTAGCATCTTGGCACGCTATGTTGCTCCTAGGAGACACCGACCAGAGCACATGGCTGCAGCGAAGAGGGTGTTGCGCTACTTGTGCAGTACGTCGGGCATGGGGCTCGTGCTTGGAGGGCGGAGTCCAGTGGTCCTCACTGGTCACGCAGACGCTTCTTGGGCTGACGACCAGGCTACGCAGCGGTCGTCACAGGGTTACACCTTCAGCCTTGGTTCCGGCTTTGTTTCGTGGCGGGCTACCCGCTCGTCTTCTGTTCTCGGCTCCAGCTGTGAGGCTGAGATCTACGCAGGGGCCATGGCTATACAGGAGTTATGCTGGCTCACCTACCTGCTGAGTGACCTAGGAGAGCCGCCTTGTTCTCCTCCAGTTCTGTACGTAGACAGCAAAGCCATGCTGGCCTTGTGTCGGGAGCACAGACTGGAGCACAGAACAAAGCACATTGCTCTTCGCTACTTCCTTGCTCGTGAGCTGCAGCAGCGTGGTCAGCTGCGACTTGCTTACGTGGCCTCTCGGGCCAACACTGCTGATATCTTTACGAAGGCACTTCAGCCTTGTGATCATCTGCGCTTTTGTACGATGCTAGGTCTTGTGCCTACTTGGCCTCACTTGCTCACTTCTTGACCTTGCTTGTACTGTGATGTATCTATACCTGCACTTGCTTGTTTACCTTTATATATAATCCTGCATGTGAACTGGCCTTGTGGCCTTGAACTGGTTCTCGGAATGTGTAGTGACGCTGTGATCCACCCTGAGCTTGCTTTGCTTGATAGGTCTGGTGACCCCTAGTTCTCCCCCAATTTGCCTATGGGGGTGTGTCAAATATATATCGCTTAGTGTTTGTAGGCTCTTGTGGGGTAGACACTAAGGGGTACAAATTTCTAGGGTTTCACATTTGTATCACACACTTTCTTAGTTCAACCATTCCTCGTTATTTTACATTTTTACCACTATTTCTTCACACAATTCTTGACTACATCCTATGCTCTAGCCATAGAAACTGATTTCATCTCGTTAGCACAACTACGCAGCTCGTGGCGCATGTTTGTGCGTTTGCTAGCCTTAATTTGTGCAAGGATAGGCCTGTGCGCAACATGTCACTGCGCCAACGCCTTAATGCCTTTTTTACCACTATTTCTTCACACAGTTCTCTTCTACATCCTATTAGCTAGCCATAGGAACTGATTTCTTCTCGTTAGCACAACTACGCAGCTCGTGGCGCATGTATATGCTTTTTCTGGCCTGAATCTGTGCAAGGACAGGCCTGTGCGCAACATGTCACTGCGCTTACGTCTGAATGCCTTTTTTAGCACTTTATCTTCACACAGTTCTTGACTACATTCTATTCCCTAGTCATAGGAACTGATTTAATCTCGTTAGCACAACTACGCAGCTCGTGGCGCATGTTTGTGCCTTTGCTGGCCTGAATCTGTGCAAGGATAGGCCTGGGCGCAACATGTCACTATTTCAACATCCGGGTGTTGTTTTTACATCTATTTCTTCACACAGTTCCTTAGTGCATCCTATTCCCTATCTATAGGAACTCGTTTGACCTCGTTCACACAACTACGCAGCACATGGCTCTTGTTTGTGCATTTGCTGGCATGAAACAGTGCAAGGACAGACATGTGCGCAACATTTCTGTGTTTCAACGTTTGGGTTTTGTTTTTACCTCTATTTCCTCACAGAGTTCCCTAATACATCCTATACCGTTACGATAGGAACTTATTGGAGATCGTTAGCACACTTTCATGTACTACACCTTATTCCCTTACTAGAGGAACTGACTAGAGCTCGTTAGCACAACTACGCAAGGATAGGCCACGTCTCACAATGTCCTCTTATCAAGATTGCAGCATCACTAAGTGATATGGTATATATTAATTGAAATACAATCATGCATTATCTGATACACGCCATATAATAGCATTGTTGTTAGACACTATATTTCGACGTACATACATACCACTGACGAGAAATGAGAATGGAATGAATGAACTATGAAACAGTTGGGTACAAGTACTAACCCTAATTGGGTTGTACCCCTTATGGGCTACCCCACTACAGCCTAAACAAATGTATAAGCTATAATGTTCTGACACACCCCCATAGGCAAAGTGGGGGAGAACAAGTGGTCACAAGACCAGTCAAGCAAAGCAAAGCAAAGCAAAGCAAGCTCAGGGTGGATCACAAAGTCACCACACAGTCCGAGCACAAGAGTAAGGCCACAAGGCCAGTTCACATGCAAGGTCATATATATAAAGGTAAAACAAGCATGGGCAGGTATAGAAAGAAGACAGTACAAACAAGATCAAGAAGTGAGAAAGTGAGGCCAAGTAGGCACAAGACCTAGCATAGTACAGAATCGCTCATGATCACAAGGCGGAAGAGCCTTCGTGAAGATATCAGCAGTGTTGGCCTCAGAGGCCACGTAGGTGAGGCGGAGCTGACAACGCTGCTGCAGCTCACGAGACAGGAAGTAGCGGAGAGCAATGTGCTTTGTTTTGTGCTCCAGTCTGTGCTCCCGACACAAGGCCAGCATGACCTTGTTGTCTACGTAAAGAACTGGAGGAGAACAAGGCGGCTCTCCTAGGTCAGTCAGCAGGTAGGTGAGCCAGCGTAGCTCCTGTGCAGCCATGGCCCCTGCGTAGATCTCAGCCTCAAAGGTGGAGCCGAGAATAGAGGACGAGCGGGTAGACCGCCACCAAACAGAGCCGGAGCTAGGGCTGAAGGTGTAACCCTGTGACGACCGCTGCGTAGCCTGGTCGTCAGCCCAAGAAGCGTCAGCGTGACCTGTGAGGACTACTCGACGTCGCCCTCCAAGCACTAGCCCCATGCCCGACGTACTGCACACGTAGCGCAACACCCTCTTCGCTGCAGCCATGTGCTCTTGTCGGTGTCTCCTAGGAGCAACATAGCGTGCCAAGATGCTAAGAGGGTATGCAAGGTCAGGTCGTGTGCAGGTCATCAGGTACATGAGGCAGCCAACATGCTCTGGGTATGGGCCACTCGACTCTACGGACTCATCCGAAGGCAGAGCTGAGAGCGAGTGGCGAGTAGACAAAGGAGTGGCCTGAGGCGAGGAGTACGTGAAGCCGAAGCGCTGAAGGACCTGCTGCACCATGTGTGACTGAGTCAGGGTAATGGTGCGCTGTGCTCTGTCACGGGTGATGTGCAAGCCAAGGTAGCTGCGCAGTTCACCCAGGTCTGTGCACGTGTGTCTCTTCTGCAGCTCGGACTTCACGTGGGCGAGTCCAGCAGTGTCAGCTGTGGCAAAGACCAGGTCGTCGACGTACACGAGGATGTAGAACGGCGGCAAAGAGGTGTCGGAGCGTAGAAACAGCGACGGGTCGGCTGTAGAAGGAGCAAACCCAAGAGCCGCAAGTGTAGTCCTCGGTGTGTCGTGCCACTCACGGGGTGCCTGGCGGAGACCGTAGACTGGCCGCCGGAGGCTCCACTGGGTGCCAGGAGGAAACGACCCAGTGAAGCCAGGAGGGCGGCGCAGCCAGATCTCCTCGTGCAGGCTGCCCTGCAGGAAAGCAGTGCTGAAGTCAAGAGAGTGAAGCTCGTAGTCGCGCTGAGCGGCTATGTGCAGCAGCACCCAAAGAGTGGTCATCTTCGGGGTGGGAGAGAAGGTATGAAAGTAGTCAACTCCCTACCGCTGAGTGAAGCCTCGAGCCACGTAACGCGCCTTGAAGACACACGGAGAGCCCGGCGGCCGCTTCACCTTGAAGATCCACATCCCACAGACGATGTTCGCCCCAGGAGGGGGAACCTCGTCGACGTAGGTGCCTGTGGACTTCCACGAAGCCATCTCTGCGTCCATGGCCGACTGCCACTGAGAGGAGTAGGGACCCTTGATCGCCTCAGCATACGATCGAGGAGTCGGGATGTCTGGTGCATCCGGGTCTCCCTCAGGGGCAATCAGCGTGGACACGAGATGGGGCAAAGCAGCCGCAAAGCACTGGAACTCCTCCTGCCTGTCCTCAAGGACGTCCGTGCTAAGAGCACACTCACCCCCGACGGACGGAGGACAAACAGACTCAGACTCAGCAACAAGATTGGCAGCGTAGTCTAGACGACAGCGAGCAGCAAAGTCGACAAGCTCAGCAACGAGAGCAGACGTAGCAGCAGACTCAAAGGAAGGGTCAGTGACGACAGTAGCAAGAAGGCGCGTGACCGAAGGACTAGCAGCACGAAGGGAGTCAGACTCTGGGTCAGCAAGAGAAGGAAGAGAGGACTCTGGAGGAGACGGCAATGGGACACGCAGAGGAGCAGTGGAAGGACGCAGTGCCATCTGGTGTGTGCCGGGGACCGCAGGAGGACGCGGACGTGCAGTACGACCACTAGTGCGAGCAGCACGAACAGGTGACGCGGGATGAGACGCAGGCTCACGACGCTCAGCAAGACCTCCAGTAGGACCAGTGTAGGGAGAAGGAGCAGGTAGAGGGGAGGCGAGCGGTAATTGTGATTGCGACTAAACAGGCGGTGGACACTCTAGGGGAGGAGCAGGACCAGTAGAGGGCGGGAGACCAAGAACCAGCTCCAGGAGCGGAACGAAGTACGGCCTCGGCCGCTCAGCGCCTCCAGCTCCAGCAAGTACGGCACCAGTACCCCCAGCGGCAGCACCAGCGGCAGCAGAACCTCCAGCTCCAACAGTGCCAACTTCAGTACCCTCAGAAGCACCAGCGCCAGCAGCACCGCCAGCGCCAACACCCGTAGCAGCTCCAGCTCCAGCAGCACCAACTCCAGTAGGACCGTCAGCACCAGCTGCCTCAGCAGCACCCCCAGACACACCAGCACCAGTAGAAACACCAGCGCCAACACCCCCAGCAGCTCCAGCTCCAGCAGCACCAACTCCAGTAGAACCGTCAGCACCAGCTGCCTCAGCAGCACCCCCAGACGCACCAGCACCAGTAGAAACACCAGCGCCAACACCCCCAGAAGCTCTAGCAGTACCCCCAGACTCAGCAGCATGTCTCCAGCGGCGGGTGAACCACACGCGCAGCTCCTGTGGAGAGAGCGGCTCCCGCCTTGACGAAGTACCGCCGGCGGCCACACGAGCAGACCCAGCACCCCTAGGCTCCGCACCCCCAGGCTCAGCACCCCCAGGCTTAGCACCCCCAGGCTCAGTACCTCCAGTCTCAGCACCCCCAGACTCAGCACCCCCAGACCCGGCACCCGCAGACCTGGCACCCGCAGGCTCAGCACCTCTAGCAGCACTAGAGTCAACAGCTACCTCGACAGGCTCGACTGCGTCCACCTGGGACACACGTGAAGGGGCAGGACCCTGAGGAGGGAGGGGGTCTACCTGGGTAGCACCTGGTGCAAGGAAGAGCGGCGGCGGGGGGAGGGGCGTAGTGCGGTAGGGGAAGAGACGGTAGTAAGGCACCGACTCGTCAAAGGTCTGGCGGATGCCCTGTGCCCGACAGAAGGCTCCCAGACGGGCAGAGGAAAACTCCCCTCCTCTGTCCAAGTGCAGACGCAAAACAGGAAAGTCCGAGCCGAAACTCTCTCTGAGCTGGAGACGAGCTGCGCGGATCCAGTCGATCAACACCTCAGTGACGTCACCCTTGCTGCGCAAGGGGAAGACTGTGGTGTAACGCGAGTAGTCGTCAACGACCAGCAGAAAGTACCGCTCTCTCCCCTGCCCACTGACGCAGGCTGGGCCCCACACGTCCATGTGTAGAGTCTGCAGCGGAGCCTCTGTCGGAGGAAACTCAGAGAAGTGAGGGGCGGCGCGCTGTCGCCCCTCGACGCAGGGGACGCAGGTAGGGCCAGGCCCCGGAGGAAGGGGAGGGAGAGACCGAGGAAGACCAGAGACAAGGACACGGGAGGCCATGCCTCGGAGACGAGGCAAGGAGGGGTGACCAAGGCGGTGGTGCCAAAGGAGAGTCTGGTGGGACAGCAGACGACACGAGCAGGGGGCAGACTTAGGACCAGACCTGGACGCCGCAGCAAACACCTGACTCGACGCAGCTACCTGGGCAGACTCAGCAGTAGGAGGAGACTCAGCAGTAAGGGTGTACACGCTCGACCCTGGCCGACGGGTGAACGTGGCCAAGTGTCGGCCTATCCGAGCACACGTGCAGTGGGTCACCTGCTGACTCGCAGGAGTGAACTGGTCAACCCCTCGATCCTGTAGGTCCGCTCCACTCACCAAGTTCGTAGAGAACGAGGGGAGGTATAGACCAGACAGGGTGCCAGAGGGGGCTGCAGGGCACGGAAGGACAGTGGAGAAGCTAGCAAGGACAAGACCCCCAGAGGGGTCTGCCAGGGAGACTGCAACCGGCCGATTAGGCGGCGTAAGAGTGGTGCGGTCTCGAAAGAAAGAGCGGAACGCACCCGAGTCCAGGGTGAAGGTGTGGAAGGCCTGAGCCGACGTAGTACCTGAGAGAGCAGACTCACCAGCTCCTGGGGCGGCAGACGCACTGGCACCTGGGGCAGCAGACGCACTAGCACCTAGAGCAGCAGTCTCACCAGCACCTAGCGCAGCAGCCTCAATGCCCGGGTCAGGCGGTACACACAGGTAACAGGCACCCTCAACACTATCAGCATCAGCATACATGGCAGCAAGAATAGCATCAAAGTCAAGAACAAAGATAGCAACCCCGGCCTTAGCCAGATCTCCCCAGCGAGGGATCTCTGACGCCTCAGGGAACTGGCGACGCCACGCGTCCGTCAGGCGACCAAAGCAGCGCTGGGTGGAGTGCGGAACTCCGCACTGCTCACCAGTGCGGTCGCCGGTACGGAGAACGTAAGAGCAGGGACCAAAACCCCCACCGCGCTGGCGTGCAGTGTACCACTCACGAAGCTGCTGAGGGGACAGGGTCACACCACTCCGCTGCTGCTGCTGGCGCTGACCACCACCGGCGCCACTCCTCGGCGCAGAGTCACGACTCGCTCCACCACCGCCGCCTCCGCCGCCGCCGCCGCCTCCGCCGCCTCCGTCGCCTCCTCCACCTCCGCCACCTCCACTACCTCCGCCGCCTCCGCTCCCTCTGCCACCTCCACCGCCTCTGCCGCCTCCACTGCTGCCCCCGCCGCCGCCACCCCCAGCACCACTCCCACCACCACCCCCACTCCCTCCACCGCCTCCACCACCACCTCCACTGCCCCCTCCACCCCCTCCAGTGCCCTTGCCCCCCTTGCCTTTGCCGGTGCGGCGTCTCCCGCTCGGGGCAGATGCAGCGCCGACCGACTCGAAACCAACGAGGTCGGCCGCAGCAGCAGAGGCGACAGAGGGCAAGAGGGGGGAGGGAGAACACCCCTCGAAGACGGGGGTGCGAGGGTCACCACGATAGGCTCCGACAACGACTATGCTCTTCTCTATCGCTAGGAGGGCCTTCTCGAGGAGGTCAACGGTGAGAGTGGTGGGGCAAACTGAGAGGAAGTGGTCTCTGACTACGCGGAGAGAGTCAGGGAGACGGGTGACTTTGTAGTAGAGGGTGATGTACATGGGGGGGGGGGGTTCTTGGCGCAGAACTCAGCAGGAAGCGCAGCGCGGTAGCGAGTGTTGTCAAACATTATACATGTTATGCTTGTGTAGGCTACAGTGGGTTAGCCTATAGGGGGTACACAATTCTAGGGTTTACTACTTGTACTCATTTCACTTCTAGTTCATTCATTCCTGTTCGCTTATTCTCACATGGTATAGAGCGGGTCCTTCTACGGACCGTTTTTTTTGGGCCCACCGAAGCGCCCCCCGAGGCGCGATTTTTTTTTTCGCGACCCCTCGGGTCGTCATTTCCCCTACGGCCCCGCCGCCTTCACTGACGCGGCCCCGCCGCCCTCTCTGACGGGGCCCCGCCGCCGGCCCTTACGCGGCCCCGTCGCCGGCTCTCACGCGGCCCCGCAGCCGGCTCTGTTGCGGCCCCGCCCCGGCCTTTACGCGGCCCCGCCGCCTGCTCTCACGCGGCCCCGCCCCGGCTCCTTCGCGGCCCCGCCGCCTGCTCTCGCGCGGCCCCGCCCCGGCTTCTACGCGGCCCCGCCCCGGCTTTCACGCGGCCCCGCTGACGGCTTTGTTGCGGCCCCGCCCAGGCCCTTACGCGGCCCCGCCGCCTGCTCTCACGCGGCCCCGCCCCGGCTCCTTCGCGGCCCCGCCGCCTGCTCTCGCGCGGCCCCGCCCCGGCTTCTACGCGGCCCCGCCCCGGCTTTCACGCGGCCCCGCCGACGGCTCTGTCGCGGCCCCGCCCAGGCCCTTACGCGGCCCCGCTGCCTGCCCCCGTCGCGGCCCCACCCAGTCGCGGCCCCGCCCCATCCCGGCCCAGCCGCCCCGTCGCGGCCCGGTCGCCTCCTGACGGCCCCGCCGTCCCTTCGTGACGGCCCCGCCGTCCCTTCCTGACGGCCCCGCCGTCCCCTCCTGACGGCTCCTGCCGTCCCCTTCTACCGGCCCCGCAACTGCACCTGCTGGCCCCGCCGCTGCACCTACCGGCCCCCACCACCCCCCCCCCTTTTCCCGTCGCCTGTCGAGGCGACCTGAGGGGGCCGCTTGCGGCAGAGGGGTGGCAGGTGTGTGGCCTCCCCTGCTTCTCCTGCTCCTTCATCTCCCACTGCAGCAGCCGAGCCGCTCACCTGCAGCAGCCGAGCCGCCCCACCGCCGAGCCGCCCTGCACCCGAGCCGCCCAGCAGGTGAGCCGCCCTGCCGCCGAGCCGCCGAGTCACCGAGCTGCTGAGCTGCAGTTGCTGCCGAGCCGCCTTGCCGCCGAGCCGCCCGAGTCGCCGGAGCCGCCGAGCCGCCGAGCTGCCGAGCCGCTGAGTCGCCGAGCCTACTCTTCCCACCACTGGTGAGCTCTTGCCCTGCTAGCACGCTGCGCGTCGCCTGCTTGCCTGCCTGCCTGCCTTTTGGCTTGCCTGGCTGCCTGCCTTCCTGCTGCTAGTCCTGCTCCTGCTTCTACTTGCGGAGCCAGATGCAGCCCCAGCGACGCCTGCGTGAGTCCCTCACGCCCCAGCAGCTGCGTGAGTGGTACGCTGGTTGGGGCTGTAGGGGTGGCGACGCTACTCCTACTACCACTCCTGCTGCTTCTACTCGTGGTGGCGGCCAGATGCAGCTCCCGCGACCCTCTCGCGTGTCTCTCACGCCTCGCCAGCTTCGTGAGTGGTACGCTCAGAGTGGAGGGTCTCTCAGTGCTGTTCGCTGCTCTTACGTGATTCGCACTGGTACTCGGACTCGTCAGCCTTGTGGGACACATAGTCATACACAGTCCTGCTGCTTCGCCCGTCTGAGCGACGCCTGGCGTACCGTGTTTGGCGACGAGGCTGAGCTTCCCGACTGGGTGGAGTTGCTTAGGCAGAGGGTAGATATATATGCTCTTGACTATGATGCTATTCTCACTGCCATGTATGCATTGCCTACTAGTGCTGACCGTGCCGGTCACCTGTGCGTCCCGCCTGCCCCAGGTATAGGACCTGCTGCTCTAGCTACTGGTGAGGCTGCTGCTCTGGGTGCTAGTGAGTCTCTTCCTCCAGGTACAGGTGCGGCTGCTGCTCTAGGTGCTAGTGAGTCTGCTTCCTCAGGTGCGGGTGAGGCTGCGCTCTCAGGTACCGCGTTGGCTTCGGCCTCCCTCACCTTTACACTTGACTCTGGGGCTTCTCGCTCCTTCTTTCGGGACCGCACCACACTCACGCCGCTTGGTCGGCCGGTTGCAGTCTCCCTGGCTGACCCCTCTGGGGGTCCTGTCCTCGCTCACTTCTCCACTGTCCTCCCGTGTCCGGCTGCCCCCTCGGGCACCCTGTCTGGCCTGTACCTCCCCTCGTTCTCGACGAACTTGGTGAGTGGTGCAGACCTACAGGATGCGGGGGTTCACCAGTTTACTCCTGCGAGTCAGCGGGTGACCCACTGCACGGACGCACGCACAGGCCGTCACCTGGCCACGTTCTCGCGTCGGCCGGGGTCGAGCCTCTACACCCTGACCACTGAGTCTCCTCCTGTCCCCGCGTCCGGTCAGGTAGCAGCGTCGGGTCAGGTGTTTGCTGCTGCGTCCAGGTCTGGTCCTGAGTCTGCCCCCTGTTCGTGTCGCCTCCTGTCTCACGAGACTCTTCTGTGGCACCACCGTCTAGGCCACCCCTCCTTGCCCCGTCTTCGGGGCATGGATTCCCGTGTCCTTGTCTCTGGTCTTCCCCAGTCTCTCCCTCCCCTTCCTTCGGGACCAGGACCTTCCTGTGTCCCCTGTGTCGAGGGGCGCCTCAGGGCTGCTCCTCACTCCTCCCAGTTTCCCCCGACAGAGGCTCCTCTGCAGACGCTTCACATGGACGTGTGGGGCCCGGCCCCCGTCCGTGGGCAGGGTCACGAGCGCTACTTCCTGTTGGTGGTTGACGACTACTCGCGTTACACCTCAGTCTTCCCCTTGCGCAGCAAGGGTGCTGTCATTGAGGTGCTGATCGACTGGATCCGCGAGGCTCGTCTCCAGCTCAGGAGGAGCTTCGGCTCGGACTTTCCTGTTCTGCGTCTGCACTCTGACCGAGGTGGGGAGTTCTCCTCTCGCCTTCTGCGAGACTACTGTCGTGCACAGGGGATCCGCCAGACCTTTACGCTTCCGGACTCTCCACAGCAAAATGGGATTGCTGAGCGCCGCATTGGCATGGTCATGGATGTCGCTCGTACGTCCATGATGCATGCGGCTGCCCCCCATTTTCTGTGGCCGTTTGCGGTTCGGTATGCGGCGCATCAGCTCAACCTTCACCCCAGGGTCTCTCGGCCCGCGATGTCCCCAGTGTTACTGTGGACGGGGAAGGTCGGCGATGCGTCTGCGTTCCGTGTCTGGGGATCTCGGGCTTTTGTCCGCGACTTGTCTGCGGACAAGCTGTCCCCCCGTGCTGCTCCCTGTGTCTTCCTTGGCTTCC